TTGCATCAGTATTATTATTTAAATCAACTGGAGTAAGCTATACTAGTATTTTTTATTAGTTAAATCCCATTGTGCATTAGTTTTCATAGCAACTTTATTTTTTTCTTACAGTGGGTTGTGTCAGCAATGTCGACTGTCCAAGTGACAAGGTGTGTCTTGAGTACCAGTGTATAGACCCATGCACTGAAATCTCTCCCTGTGCACCTTCAGCGACGTGTCAGTACAACAACATGAAGCAAGTGTTCTTGTGCACCAGGAGAACATGGTGACCCTGCTATTCAGTGCTTATCTCTAGGGTGCCGTAACAACAATGAGTGCCCTCCCAGTCGTGCCTGCATCAACAACCAGTGCCACAACCCATGCAGGGATGATGTGTGTGGTGTGGGGGCAACCTGCAATTTTCACAATCGCAACCTTACTTGTAGCTGCCCAGAAGGATACAAGGGTGACCCAAGAGTTGCTTGCAGACCACAGTCTTATGCTTGTATGGCTGATTATGACTGTGGTGTAGGGCTGTTGTGTGTGCGTGGGGTTTGTGCAGACCCTTGTAAACAGGAGAAGCCATGTGCTTCCAATGCAATGTGCACCGTTCAGGAAACCGACCCATCAAATCTGTTACCTGCACCTGTCCAGCAGGGTTCACTGGTGATGCACAAGTCCAGTGCAGGAAAAGTATGGAATTTACTCTCCTCCTAAACACCATCATGCCTCTTGTCATCACAAACTCATGAATTCTTCTTTTGCCTGTACCTTTATCCCAAAAAATCTCCATGTACTAAAACTCAATTTAACATAATCTCATATTTTTAGGCTTTGTGAAAAAAATGAACATATTGTACTCTACTATTTTTAGCAGTGATGAATACTAACGAGTAATTTTCTGTAGTAACTGTTCCACCTGAGGCACTGTGCTTGCGGGACAGTGAATGCCTGACAGCCTGGCATGCCTTGGTGGGCAGTGTGTCGACCCTTGCTGTGCGGTGTAGAATGCAGTGTGTCGCGTTATCAATCACCATGCCGTGGTGCTCTGCGCCCTGGACTATGATGGAGATCCTTACACTGCTTGTTTCTACAGTAAGAAACCACACACCAACATTTTACATTGTCCATAAGGATTCACCAGCTACATATTGTTCCACTAATGTACTTTGGTTTAATATTATAGTACAGTATTAACTGCTGGATTTTGTAACTTACAAGACTGACCATTGGTATATTAACATATAAATTAATATCTCTCTAGAACAAAATACATGTATCTGTTTATAAATACAGATGGAACTTCAAAAACACATTGGACAAAGCTAACCTACTCACTTAACTCCACCAGAGGGATGTACAACTGATGACAGCTGTCCGACAACATACATTTGCCACAACAGTTACTGCATTGATCCGTGCCATGTCAACAACCCATGTGCCATCAATGCGAGTGCTTTGCTGTCAATCGTGAGGCTCGCTGTCGGTGTCCACTGGCTTAGATGGTGACCCACATGTCAAATGCCAGACACTTAAGTGTGAGATTGATACTGATGTCCAAAAGACCGAACCTGCCAACATGGGCAGTGTGTAGATCCCTGTATATACACCACATGTGCAGACAGTGCCATCTGCACTCCTGCTGAACATCGTGGAGAGTTGCCGTTGTGCTCCTGGTTACAGAGGCGATGCAACATTCAGATGTGAGCCTGATGTGGAGCCCATCTGCACAAAAGACAAGGATTGTGGCACAGGTCTGGCTTGCATCAGTGAGCATTGTCAGAGCCTCTGTAGCTCTAGGTGTGTGGGGAGAATGCAGTGTGTCACGTGGTTGAGTCTGTACCCTTCAAGGCCATGGTGTGCAAGTGTCTGCCTGGCCAAGTGGGCGATGCACATACACAGTGTAGACTGAGTAAGCAGCACATTAACATTGTGTTTCATTTTCATAAAAACTCTGATATATATGCTTTACAAATCTATTAACTTTTAACATTTTATTTATTTTGTTGCCTATACAGTATTAATATTATGAGCAAGTTTGTCCATGCCTTGACAACTTGTAGTCTCACCAGTGCCAACTAAAAATTCTCTAGCACAGTTATGAATGTCACTTTCTCTCACCATTAAAAAACAGGTTGTTTCATACTGTTTGGTGACAGAAGGTGCCATCCATGCCTGCTCACCATACTATGTATTAACAAAACTAACATTCAGTTCCAGAGAAGACAGGTTGTGTACGTGACAAGGATTGTGCCATGGGTTTGGCATGTGTGGGAGGAGTGTGTCGTGACCCTTGCAACTGCGGCGTCAACGCACTCTGTACTGTCATCAAACACGGGCCCAAATATGTACCTGTGCCCAGGGTTATGAGGGCAACCCACATATAGCTTGTTCTGCTAGTAAGCCATTTAACATTTACTTACATACATGTGATTACTTTTTAATTAATAGATTTCCTAATATTATAGCTTCATAACAGGCAGCATAAACCTAGGCAGTAGAATTAAATGTTTGATAAGTGGTATAGATTACTTATTACTTGCAACAGTTTTTGTTGCAACAAGATTAACCAATGCATTACATATTTGCTAATATCACATCTAATATGATGCTTAACTTAATATCTACAAGAGCAGTCACCAGAAGTGTCTATAAAGCACACAGTAACACATGCATTCTCTCTACCCTAGCGGGTGCACCAGCAACTCCCAGTGCCCAGATGATCGTGCCTGCTACAATGGTAATTGTGTCAGCCCATGCTTGTTGGACAACCCGTGTTCCCCAAGAGCGGAGTGTCGACCCATCGCTCACAAGGCTACCTGCTTCTGTGCTTCTGGCACCAGTGGTGACCCTCTTAAAGAATGCAAGGTCATTGGATGCTCAACAAACAGAGACTGTCCCCAGATCGTGCTTGCTTAAATGGTCGTTGTTTAGACAGTGTATTTTACAATAATACCTGTGCACCAAACACAGAGTGTCGCAGCATTGATCACAGAGTTGAATGTCGCTGTCCAGTCGGTTTTGAAGGCTTCCAACAGTTGTTTGTAGAGAAAAGACTCCACGGATGTCGTTCAGACTTTGATTGTGAGTCTGGAGTATGGGTGCATGGAGGGAAGGTGCCAGAAACCTTGCCAGGTGCTGAAGCCATGCCAAGACCAACAGTGTGCACTCTGGTAGCTACAAGACCCCTCAAGACCATGACCTGCAGCTGTCCTTCACATATGGTCACCTCGCCAGGGGCAGTGTGTTAACTGTAAGCATGTTATCCATTTTTTGTTCTCAACAGCCCTTTATAATTTTACCATATTTTATCTTTATCGTAAGTTTACCGAGTGTTTTTCAGTAATCATTTTGTCATTCTCATGTCTAACTTGTCAGCATATTACTAATGTCATATACACTAACATCACACTAAGCAACAAATACAACTTTAAATCTGGCCAGAATTTATGTAACCATACCTATGTTAACATCTGAATGTTTTTGGTAGCTGGCACATGAATAGTAATGAATAATAACTCAAACCTAACTCCCACAGTGGAGCTCCCAATAAGTGTGGGCTGTCGTGCGGATAGTGAGTGCCCAGGCGACCAGGCATGCCTCAACACCGCTGTGTAACGCCATGTTCCTGTGGTCAACATGCAGAGTGTTATGTCCGTGACCACCGGCCCATCTGTACCTGTCTCCCAGGATACCAAGGAAACCCCAACATTGGATGCTACAAAGGTATGTTCAGTCTTCCAACATGATTAATGCAATTCATTATAATAATTTTTTTTTGTTTACCTGTTAAGTTACTTGTTTTATTTCATCAAAATATTTAATTACAGCTGGCTGTAGCAAGGATGAGGAGTGCCCATTGGGACACGATGTGTTCCAGTGTGTGTGTATAAACCCATGTGCAGTTAAAAGACCCATGTGACATCAGTGCTGAGTGCTACCCTGAGAATCACCACTCCAAGTGTCGCTGCACCAGTGGACTTGAGGGTGACCCTTATGTCAGATGTCAAGTTATCGGCTGCAGGAGCAACACAGAATGTCCACAGACAAGGCTTGTGTTAATCGCCAGTGTGTGAACCTTGCTTCTACGACAATTTGTGTGCTCCAATGCTGAATGTTATTGTTTTCCAGCACACAATGGCTGTCGGTGTCCAAACCGACATGCCTTATGGCGACCCCCGATTCATATGCGAGGAGAAGAAAGTTTTTAGTAGAACATCCTAAGCCTGAATGTGTTGCAGACTTGGACTGCCCCAGCAAACAAGCGTGCATTAATGAGCAGTGTTCCAACCCTTGCCACACACTCAGCCCCTGTGACAGGACAGCCATGTGTGATGTGGTCGACTCCATCCCTGTAAGAACCATGATTTGTGTATGTCCAGAGGGCTTATTATGACTGATGAGGGCACCTGTGAATTGATTGCACTTGAAATACCATCGGATGCCGTGCTGATTCAGAATGCCCAACAGAGGAAGCTTGCATCAACCGCATGTGCCGCATTCCTTGCGAGTGTGGCCGTAATGCCAACTGTGAGATCATCAATCATCGTTCAGTTTGCACTTGTGAAGTAGGATTTCAGGGTAATCCTAATATTGGTTGCTTCCCAATTGGCTGTCAGCATGACAGTGAGTGCGGGACACCCAAGCGTGCTATGATGGGGTCTGTGCTAATCCATGTCTCGTTGATGACCCTTGCCCTACTAAGTCAGAATGCTACGCTAAGGAAACACAGAGCTTATTGTCGCTGTCCGTCAGGTTTTCAAGGTGATGGCTACACCAAGTGCCTTGCTATCGGTTGCCGGGCAAACTCAGAATGTCCTAGTGATAGAGCATGTATAAATAACATTTGTGTAGATCCTTGTGCATATGATCCCTGTTCCTCCAACGCTGAATGTGTGATCGTCGACCACATTGCTCGGTGCAGGTGCCCACCAGGAATGACTGGCGACCCCAAGGTAGGGTGTTCTACCTGCCATACAACCTGTATGTATTACAGATGGTGACTGTCCAAGTCAACATGCTTGTATTGATGAGAAGTGTGTTAACCCATGCAAGGTCTTAGAGCCATGTCATGAGTCTGCTGAATGTAAGGTAGTTGATACACTCCCTGTAGGACAATGCTTTGTATTTGTGCTGATGGTGAAGTGACTGATGAAGGAGGAGAATGTGAGGTGTTACCACCAATTAAAGCAGCATGTGAAGTAGACCCAGATTGTCCTTCAGAAAAAGCCTGCTTCACTGGCATTTGCAAAGACCCATGCCAGTGTGGTGCCAATGCTGACTGTGAAATTGTTGAGCACCACCCTGTGTGTACATGCAAGCGGGGCTATGAAGGTGATCCAGAGATTCGTTGTATTGAAATTGGTTGTTATGGAAATGACGACTGTCCAACAACTCATGCCTGTCGCAATGGTCAATGTGCGCCAGTGTGTGGACCCAACAATGAGCCATGTGGGAAGGAGGCTGTATGCCAGGGAGTTAATCATGAAGCAGTCTGCTATTGCCCGCCTGGCTCACGGGGCAACCCACGAACACAATGTATCGCTATTGGCTGTGTGTCTAACGATGCATGTCCTGATGACCGCAGCTGCATCAACCAACGATGTGAAAGTCCCTGCAGTCTTGAATTATGCAAAGAGCCTGCCACCTGCCATACCCAGGACCACATTTCAGATTGTCCTTGCCCACCTGGTTTCAATCGTACCATTGATAATGGTTGTGAGATGTGTAAGTATATGAAAATCTTACTTTCTAGCTAGCATGGCAGCATTTTTTTTATAAATACTGATACATATACAACATTTTAATAGGAAGGAATATAATAACAAGTGACTCTTCTTGGATCCAGTGGTGATAGGGTGCAGGTCAGATGTAGAGTGCCCAAGTAAGACAGTATGCATTAATGGTAAGTGCATTGACCGTGTGGCCTCGACCCCTGCGGTGAGAACACCGAGTGCCGAGTGATCGACACAGTGCCAGTGAGGACCATTGCCTGTGAGTGTCTGCCGGGATACCAGGGTGATGCTGCTGAAAAGTGTATCCCAAGTAAGTGACTCTTGTTGCTTCTGCTGCTTGGCCCAACATGCTATGATTGATCTCTGACTCATAATTAATGCTTACATTGTTCCATTTCATATTATCTGACTTGTATTGCTTGAAATTTGTCAGATACTGTAGTAGTTTGATTCTTGTCATGCGTCAGTTTTGCCTGATAATATACATTCTGCAGCTTTGCTCTTCATTGGAAACAAAGCCACTAGTGAGACTTACCATCATTATTTCCTGCTTATTGCTTTTTAACCTGTTAAACCAACGTTTATAGTTGAACACGATACTGTATCCCAAGATCATTGCAAGGATTAGAACAGGATGCTATGTCTTATAATTTAAGAAATCACAAAAGTTATTCAAATGCAATATTAATTTCAACTATAAACAAGGTATCGTTGTAATTTTACTTGATCATGGTACACACTTGTACCTTTTATACTAACTACTTGTAGATCATGATAGACATGGGTACTTTTGTTCTTATATCATGGTTGTCACAGGTCATTGTAGACACAAGTACCTTTGTACTTGTAGATCATGGTAAATGCTGACTGCTTTGCTTGTACTAGTATGAATTACTTCTATTTATAGTTGTCACTTTTATTTACCTATAATAACGTATTTGCCTGAACTGATTACAAGTTGCTTGTCCTTATGGAGTATTGCCAGAGGTATACTTGACACCACCAGTGGCAGTGACAGAGAAGCAGTTGGATGGACCATCAGTAATGGTAACAGGGAACTGGTCTTGATGCACCACCAATGATGGTGAAGCAGGTGTGGTGCATCACCAGTGATGGTAACAAGAGGCAGGCTTGACACACAACTAGTGACAGTGATAGGGAGGAAGGCTTGATGCACCAGTCAGTGATGGTAGAGGAAAACCAAGCTTGATTCACCACCATTGACGATGACAGGGAGGCAGGCTTGACATTATAGTTGGTGGGAGGGGGATGATTGAGGCTGATACCAGCGATGTTGATAGTCATAGACTAACTGTACAGAAAAGGAATCTTGCACTCGACTGGTGACTGTAACCATTAAAGATGCCCAAGTGTTGTACGTGTCTAATTTATCAGCTTGTCGGTTCTCTGAACCACTGGTCTACACACATACCTATACCACATTTTATTAATGAATTATGGGCAACAAGTTACCAGACCTGACATGGTATTTGAATTATTCATCATATTATTATATTGGACTTGGTGGACATTTCATCACACCATGTGCAAGGTTCCAAATCAAGTGGGAATATTTCGACTATCTCATGACTAGACACCGTTAAGCTAATTTTCAATTTTAAAATTAAATTTTTTTATAGGTTTCTCCAGGGCTTTGAAAGATCTTAAAAAGACAAAAAGACAATGAAATCATTTTTGTGGTAATAACATCAAAACCTGGCATTTATATTATTATTATTATAATAAAAAAGAAGCGCTAAGCCACAAGGACTATACAGCGCTGCAGGGCAGGAAGGAAGCGAGGGCATCAGGTGGCAAAAGGGAGATGGATGAGTAATAGGTTACGGATAACAGCGGGGCAGTGGATGGTGAAAGGGTAAAGGGCAGCAAGAGACTGAACTAGAAAGGGCTGAGGGGAGTGCGAAAAGTATCATCAGAGTTTGTGGAGTAAATCAGTCGTTGTCAAGAAGTCAATGAGAGAGTCAGGATTAAAGGAGGGTCCATCAGCAAGAAGGGAAGGTAAAGAGAGAGTAGTAGAACGAAGACAACGTTGGAGGTAAATTCTGCGTGCTCGTTGATAGAGAGGGCAGTCTAACAGAATGTGACTAATCGATACTGGAACTTGACACTGCTCACAGAGAGGAACAGGGTGCCTCTCCATGAGATACCCATGAGTAAGACGAGTGAGGCCAATGCGAAGGCGGGAGAGAGTGGTCTCCCAACCTCGGCACTGATGACAAGAAGACGGCCAGTAACCTATGCTCGGTTTAATAGAATGAAGTTTGTTACCGAGCAGAGTTGACCAACGTTGTTGCCAACGGGTGCGAAGGTGGGTAGCTATTGCAGCAAAATAGTCCAGAAATGGAACACCTCGATAGGAAATTGGTAGGTCATGTACTGCTGACCGGGCAGCAGTGTCTGCCTGTTCATTGCCCTGTACGTCGACATGACCAGGGACCCAACAAAAAACAATATCTTTGTTTGGTAGAGATACGGCGTAGCCAAAGTTGGATACGGAGAACTAGGGGATGAGATGTATCAAATTTTCGTATAGCCTGTAGAGCACTAAGGGAGTCTGAGACTACTACAAATGATGACACAGGCATAAATGCGATACGAATAAGTGCTGCAAGAATGGCATACAGTTCAGCAGTAAAAATGCTAGCTGAAGATAGTAAATGCCCCCGCACGACGCTGTCCAGAAACACTGCTGCGAATCCGACGCCGTCTGGAAGACTTAGAGCCATCTGTGTACACAGCGGTGGCATGAGAATGGGAGTGGAAGTGATCAAGAAAAAGAGAGCGGGAAGCCACCATAGGCAGTTGAGCTTCGAGCAAGGGAGTGAGAAGAACAGACCCGAACAGCTGGAACTTCCCAGGGGGGTAGGGAAAAGTGAGATGCTACATGAACATATAAAGGTGGTAACTGAAGGGAAGACAAGAGTGAATGTAGGCGAAGAGAAAAGGGACGGAGCAAAACAGGGGCGGTGAAACGAATAAAGAATGTCTACTAATATCGGTGGACCATTCTATAAATGGAAGGATTGTGTAGATCGTGAGAGCGTACATAGTAGCGAAGGCAATGGGCATCACGGCGATCAGACAAGGATGGAACATTCGCTTCTGTATAGAGGCTCTCAACAGGGGAAGAGCGAAAAGCACCAAGGCACAAATGTAATCCTTGGTGATGGATAGAGTTAAGGCTAGAGAGAGTAGCAGGAGAGGCCGCGGAATAAATCTGGTCACCATAATCGAGTTTCGATAAAACGAGGCTTGAATGTAGGCGAAGCAGAGTTCGATGATCAGCTCCCCAGGAAAGATGAGCAAGGGTTTTAAGAAGGTTTAGCCGGCTGTGACAAGTTGCCTTCAGAGAGGTAATGTGAGGTTTCCAGGATAACCGACGGTCAAAGAGAAGGCCTAGAAACCTGACTGTATCACGTTCGGGGATACGGGAGCCATAGAGATACAAAGGATGATCGGAGATAACAGAGCGTCTAGTGAAAGTAAATTTGGTGAGTTTTGGTACTTGAAAATTTAAACCATGCGTGGTGGCCCAAGTGGAAAACACGGTCGACCGCATGCTGGAGAGAACTGCAATAAGATGACAGTCAGCGCCTGCACAAGCAATAGCGAAGTCATCAACATTAGAGTGATGACCAAATACAGTGGACCCCCGCATAGCGAACTTAATCCGTGCAAGAGGGCTGGTCGTTATGCGAAATGTTCGCTATGCGAATTAATTTTCCCATAAGAAATAATGGAAATAAAATTAATCCGTGCAAGACACCCAAAAGTATGAAAAAAAATTTTTTTTACCACAAAAAAATGTTAATTTTAGTACACACAAACTGAAAAAGGCATTGCACAATTACATGACACTTACTTTTTATTGAAGATCTGGTGATGATTGATGGGATGGGAGGAGGGGAGAGCATTATCTTCTTACTGTTTTAGAAGGGGAATCCCTTCCATTAGGACTTGAGGTAGCAAGTCCTTTTCTGGGGTTACTTCCCTTCTTCTTTTAATGCCACTAGGACCAGCTTGAGAGTCACTGGACCTCTGTCGCACACAAAATCTGTCCATAGAGCTCTGTACCTCCCGTTCCTTCAAGACTTTCCTAAAATGGGCCATAACATTGTCATTGAAAATAGTCACCAGCACGGCTTGCAACAGCTGTGTCAGGGTGATTTTCATCCATTAAAGGTTTGCAGTTCAACCCACTGTGCACACATTTCCTTAATTTTTGAAGTAGGCACAATGGATTCCACAACTGGCATAGGCTTCTCAGGGTTAGCCCCAAACCCTTCAAAATCTTTCTTAATTTCCATACTAATTCTCACCCTTTTTACCACAGGGTTGGCACTATGAAGCTTTCTTGGGGCCCATGGTCACTTATTTTCCAGAAACAGCACCGAAAACACTGTAATAATACGAAATATTCCGAGTGTATGCTTGAATGTTACCGCGGAGGCTGGCTGGTAAACAATGACGCGGTCTCGGACGAAGGTCGCTGAGCGGGTTTTTGTCCACTATGCGGGGCAAAATTTTGGCGAACAAAGCGTTCGCTATGCGGATTGTTCGCTATGCAAGGCGTTCGCTATGCGGGGGTCCACTGTTACTGGGTGGAAGAACAGAGGCCAAATCATTTATAGCAAGGAGAAAAAGTGTTGTGCTCAGAAACATCCCTGAGGGACACCTTCAGCTTGGACGAAGTCCGGGGAAAGAACATTATTGACTCGAACACGGAAATGTCTGTCAGTTAAAAAGTTCTTAAGGAAGGATGGTAGATTGCCTCGGAGGCCTAAGGAATGGGCCTGGGCCAAAATATTATACCTCCAAGTTGTGTCATATGCCTTCTCAAGGTCAAAAAATATGGCAATAACTGAGTGATTATTCGCAAAGGCATTACGAACATACGTATCAAGCGTAGTAAGGGGTCTATGGTAGAACGACCTTACGAAAGCCATATTGACTAGCGGAGAGACTGTTGTGTGTCTCTAAATACCACATTAAACGTCGATTTACGAGACGTTCCATCACTTTGAAAACTGCACTAGTAAGAGCGATGGGGCGATAGTGGGAGGCATCATGTCCTGTAGTACCCGGTTTGCAGAAAGGGAGAACAATGGCAGATTTCCACAGCTGGGAAGAACTCCTTGTGCCCAAATAAGATTGAAGAGGTGTAAGAGGACTACAAGGGCTGACCGATGTAAATGTTGTAACACACGAATATGAATGTCGTCAGGCCCAGCTGCCGATGATCGGCAAGCTGAGAGCG